GCATCGGTGCGTTGCAGGCAGTACCCCCTGATACGGGCGTACCAGAGCCTACCCGGTCCACCGGGTACTGTTCTGGTATGGTGCTCCGGAGGGCCCACCCACCCAACTGAGCTCTTTAGCTGTTCTTTAAAGCCTTTGGCGCTTCCGCGCACGTGCATGCCGCATAGAGTGCATGTGCGACGCTCCGCCGAGCAGCTGGAGTGTCGCAGAGGCTTGCGGAGGCGTCGCTGGCAGGTACGATGCATGCGTGTGCCACGCACGTTCATATGGAGGATGCCGGGCCTTATTGCAACCATACTGGTTGCAACGGGATCCGGAACCCACCACTGGTGTGCATATATCATTGTTTCAAGTTGTATTCTCATTTCCATACCTGTGAAATTCAAGGCAATTAGCAGACAAAAATGACCAAATAATATAATCCAAAAGAATTTTTAAAAAATTGGTTTAAGACAACAACTATACCTGACAGATGAAGGTTACGGACATGCTAAAAAGTTTTTTAAAGGTTCATAAAAGTGATAGCAATTTCCCTGATATATATACTTAATATATTCATCTTTCCAAAGATTCTCTTTAGGTTTGGCCAAAATATTCTAATTTTTTTTAGTAACAATTTGAAATGTGAGAGGATTAGAACTCTGAAAGGAAATTTCAATGTATATATAGCTTTAAAAGATTGCATAAAACATATTTGTTTCTTAAAGGCTATTTAAATTACGGAATGACAAACAGAGCAAAAAGTAAGATGTATAAATTTCCAAATTTCATGATTTTATGTGATTTGAGAACTGTTTAAGATTATGCACATCTAGTGGTTTATTATTGATATTGTGTTTTATACGTTATTATTTGTCAACTTGTCTTTCAGAATGGTACAAATGAAACATGGATCTGAAAAGAAAGTCATGGTGAATATAAGCTATAAACAAGGGAGAGATGGCACCACTGTTGTGGACACAATTGTTGAAGAAACCTACCTCTGTGCTAGTGTTGAGTTTCTGCTTGCTGTTGCAGAAGTATTTCTCAATGCTAATGCTGAAAGCACAGCTGCAAATAAAAACTTTCGGCAAACACTGGCTACAAAGGAACAAGGTTAGTAATCAGTACCAGTATATTTTATATATACCTTTAGCTTCATTATGAGGCTGTAATTTTATCTGCATGATGCTGTGATAAGCATCTTACTCAATAATTTTATGTCACAAATTAGTCTTATGCTATATTTCAAGTGTTCCTATATTCAAATTTTGCTGAATTGAATATAATTGTAAGGGGTTATGTGATTCCTTGCTGTGCAAGTCATCCTTGTTTCTGGGGAGGCTGTCTTAAGTCTTAACAGATAATTAAGAGATTGTTCTAAAGCCTGTGAAATAAATGTCAGTAAGTTATCATTTTGAAATTCATTGTTTGTTAAATTATAAGTGAAAAAAGAGGAAAATGCAGGCTGCTATTTACAGTTGCAGTGTACAACATATCTTGAAATTGCAGAAGTAGAAATATTCTAAATCCATTACAGTAAAATGAAGATAGAGGCAAAAATCTATAATGAATGTTTTTATTCCAAAGTTTATAAACATTATTAATCTTTGCTAAAACTGCAGTATTTAAATATTTTAACAATCATAAAATGAATGAAAAAGAAATGTACTGGGACTATAAAGCTGCCCTTTATTACAGTGGCTCCCAACCTTTTGGGCACCAGGGACTGGTACTGTGGAGAGAGTTTTTTCACGGACCGGAGGGAGCATGGTTTTGCATGCTGCCTGCATCCCGCAGATGGAGCGCTTTGCTTGTTTGCATGGACCGGGGATTGGGGAACACTGTGTTATTAGACAGCCAGTTTTTCCAATCACTACAATTTTTTAATGGAAATATTTATAAAAATAGTTTTTATAGGAAAAAATGACTCTTTAAAATGTTTTTCACACAGATAGGCATGTCAGGTTACACAAACACATAACAAACATAGATATTTTCATCATTGTTAGGAATATAATCTAACGGTTGGGTTGGCAGTATATAAATCATGTAACAATGTTGTACCTGTTTCTTTAAATCAT